AAGAGAAACGGGTGAAACGCGAACTTCAAACATTACAGAAGTTGATTGATCCAGCGAAACGTGCTTGTGCATTCCCAATCAACCCTGAGAAATAGATATGTATGTGTATACGTGTAATGATGGTATATTCGGACTTGGAGAACTGGTTAAGGAAACAGATTTTCTATCTTGATGCACTCTAATTTATTGAACTCCTGGTCCCATTTTACCAACTTTTGCTGAGGTACGTTGCCACGTGAAACCCTTTATGTTCTCACCTCTTCCCTTTTCTTAAATTACAGATGTGTAAAAAAGAACAGGTGTTCAGGGAAAATGAACGATCAATGAGCATCTTAATGGTGATTTCATCTATGGTCTTTCAATTAACCTGATGAACGGCATCTTACCAACATTCCTTCTTACCCACTGTCCTTAACCTTTAAATAAATTAACGTATCCAATCAACTGGTAAAGCGCAATAAAAACTGGTTGACCTGGCAATTCCCAGCTGCTTAGGGTATTGGAACATATAGCGACCCAGAGTACCGTGTGTTTTGATCAATACAAAGAAATTTAAGTTGAAAGGTTTCCCATTGTAAGCAGTACTTAATTTACAGCTGCTGGCCCCTGGGAGAGGATAGGCTGACCTCGTGGATATTCCACGAAAATTTCGTAGGAGTTAGGTACAGGAAACGTCACCCGACTTTAGGTCGAGGTAGAATCTCTAGTCATTGTACATCCCAGTGCCAACTGCAAGGCAGCAGGTAGTGCATGGTTGCCGATGGCGCTTTGAGGGCATAACGGGGCAACGGGGCTCGTTGACAGCTTCTAGCTGAACAGGGATTCATGCATCTCCGGTGAGTAGTGTAAGGGACTTCATCCACCCAACGCGGTAGCTACTACTGCATTCATTCGTTAGACACCGACTCGCCGGAAGNGGTTACCCTGACACTGGTTTGACCAGCCTGTCCAGCGGTTTACCGGGGTGTGACCTCCGGTGCATCCAGACAGTTTCTTGGAGCCACAGGTGAGATCTGAGCGCCTGATGGAGACCAAAGAACAGAGGATGTCCAGAAGGAGCCTACAACCATCAGAGTCAGTGGTGCTACTCCTACCGCGTACTCCATACACCCGGTGTTAGCAGTCTTACATCAAAAAGGACGATTCACCCATGTATACCTAACCCAACCTACTGACCACAACTAGTTTGCGTATCAAGATCACCCTGTCATATTACACTACATAGGGAATGTAAAGCAGCGAGAACTTGTTCCCTAGATTCCGATAGTGTTAGGATACCTCAAGCTTTGATCTCCGCTTGCAGATTCAGGTATTCTCTGCCCTATCATCGATTTTAAACTATGCTGTTTCAAAAGCCGCATTCAATCCACCTGTTTTGTGATGAAGTCTCCGCTTCGTTAACCATTTCTATGTTAGTTTTTACCGCTTCTGATGATAACGGTGTCATTTGGGGTTACTCTATTCTCATTTTTTTCAAAATACAGGAGAATCTCACAAATTACAGATTGGTCTGAAAATCTCAGTCTGTGTGTGGGGCCCCTAGAACCCAGAGAAACTATCGTTTTCTCTAGATGATATATTTGTGTTTGCTGAACCTGTGAATCCTCACCCATCGGTTATTTCAGTGTTAATTGAACCGAGACCTTAGTCTAACCAAATTCAGCCTCTCTATTATACACCCCAGATTATATTCTGTATACACATCTAGTCAAACGATCGCCATGCGCTTCCAATTTGCGTTACTTGCCAGGTGTTTCCCCAATTATATTCCCTTATAATTAATTCCCCAACCCCTGAAACCTTTACCTTGATGAAGTAATTTACCTCGTGTGCAGCTTACCGAAACAGTTACTCTCTAACATTTTTAAGTATTTAAAATTCTGTTTAGAAAACTTTAACCGACCTGACATCTTATCAATACCTATTTAGAGAAACGTGTGCCGACTTCAGGTACTCATTTGCGTGGACTAATGCAAACCAATCCTAGCGCGAAACACGCCACAGTCATTTAAATTCTTCATGATCAATCCGAGGCAGAAAGGGGGGATTCAGTATTGACTCTTTTCTTCGCTCCAGTAACCGAAAATCTCCGGAATTAGGAACGCTTAGTTGTTCGGTCGTTTTTCACTCACTGCCTGAAATTTAAGCGGTAGAACTGTATAACTTTCCTGGTTGCATTTTCCGACACAAGCGAAGTCGGGCTAACCGTGTCAACACTCCAGTGATAAAGAAGCTGGAAATGTGATTTTGCATGTTTTACTTCCTGGCTAAAATCTCTCGACACACAAGAAACATACACCAAAGAAAATCAACAGTCCACCTAAGATTATAGGTAAAATTTAAAAGCAGCACAATTTTTACTTCTACTCTTTTATTATTACACACTTGTGTGATGAACAGCAGTCAGGATGAGCTCAATAGTCACGAAGACCTGTTATGGAAACCGGTAACCTAAGTCCCGGGACTTGGAGTGGCGAATCACATAAGGCCCCGCTAGGGTAGGCGTGGTATTGAACCGGACGGCAGCAATGCTACCTAACAAAACTTAGTAGCCAACCATTACGACGGTGAGTAGCATGACGCAACGCATACAGGACACGAATGGCAGAAAAGGTCAATCAGAGGAACTATGCGTATTCTCCGATCCGATCCGACGTTTCGCCAATTAATCCCATATTATCCGGATTTCTGTACCTTGATGCACTAACCGAGCAGAAAAAGTTTGGTAAATAAAGTCTGGCATGCAAAGAATGACCGAAAGAATAACCTCAAATAGACCGGTTTTCTAGTCTGAGCGTGAGGCAGCGCGGAAAAAATTGGATGAACAGTTGAATGTGTTACTTATTTTTCCTCAGTAGTTAGTAACTAAATTCGCATTTCTCTTACCGAAGTACACCACCGCGTGCAGTGAAGCATTGTTTCCGGTGGGACACGTAATGATTAATTGAACAGTAAAGAAAGACGGCTAGATCACAAGATGGGAAACGCAATGTCAAATGGCAGACGAAGTGTGCTATTACGCAAAATATTACAAAACTAAACAGCACACATTGAGGAAAGAAATCAGCAATAAGTAACGAAACGAGTTGGAGTGATATGGATTCCGGGTTGGTAGTCACATTCCAAAAGTAACAATGGTGATGTATGTAGAGACACGGATACAATATCCGATCTGTCTCAAATTAAATCTGTCTAATCATGACCACAGAACGCATGGTGAGGTAGGCGGCACGGTGGACAAGGTTGTATCAAGGAATACACAAGCCCAGCGGCAGTGCATCACCAGAAACTGTTCCTGAAGTCAGAAACCACAAAGTGACTGAGTAAATCCCAGGAAGTGACATGTCTAGCGACCACACATGATTGATTCCGCATCAAATTGTCGAAATTCTCCGTCATCAGTGGGGCACTCGGATTCGTAATTCAGATCATTCTGAGGAACTTTGTTTTGGAAGCTGATTGGCGCG